CAAATTACATCACTAAGAGCAAAAGTCCAATCAGTGACACTGATATAGTACATACACAGAAATGTTTCAGAATGTCATTAGTTTAACACCATAGCACAATGTTTTTTGAAACAATGAATACTATTTGAACCAATTAATAGCTGTGACAACTATTTCTAAATGCTTGGACTCAAATAATAATAGAAATACCTCATCTAATATTTCTTCAGATTAATCAGGAAGGGCAAGTCATTTCCAATTCAGCAAATCCAAATATAGACCTTCTTTTCTACTGTGTTTCCAAATCATGGTAAGAAGTTAGGGCTAGGGTTGGAGTTAGGGTAAGAAGGATCTTCTAAGTATACCTTTATTATCTCTCCTCGCCTCTCAGCCCTACAGCTGAAGCTCTCTGAGAGGTACAACTTTTATGCAAGTTGCATTCACTTATTCCTAAACAATAAATCAGAATCTCCAATAATTATTCCCATTATTATCCCATAGTAAAAAATATCACTGAAAGGCAGAGATGACAGGATGAATTCTGGATTAATCTGATCTATTCATCAGTGACCCATTCTAGTAGGACGAAATCAAGATCAAAAAAATGTGCAGCACATGGCTACACAGGCCAAACACCACATTGCTGAAAAATTAAACTGTTCTTCAATGAAACTGGTGGACATTTGCATGATATATCTGTGTAATGAGATGTTATGAAACATACTTCAGGGTAGTAAAAAAAAACTATTCAAATAGGAGTCAGATCATGAGGTTATTGGTCATTTAGGAAGTATGTACATAGCACATTTCCTTTCCATAAAGATGATTTCCGAAACACTCACTTCTAATCCTTTCTCTTAATTTGCACTGGCTTCCTGTAGAGATAACTTTAGGGAAGTTGTGACTCTGGGAATCTGATTATTAAAATTCAGTTTCCAGCTCTAAAATCAGAAACTTCTATTTACATGGTGAAGCAGATATTAAATGCCTAATATAAATGACCAATACTTCATTTTTGCACTTCTCTGCCTTGCAGGAACTCTGAAATAGCTGAACATACTATTGTGTCTTAGATTTGCTGTAACATTTACAAAGATAATCTTTCTTGTTCGATCCTTCATATTGTTATTTACTTGTAAACCTCTATACAGTACAGAAACTCACATATGCCTTCTATAAATCAAGGAATCACACTACAGAGACTAAGATCTGATAATGTATCTGCTCCACATTTTTTGAACACCAAAGGAGTAAAGAAACATCTTGAGTAAGGGGTTGTTTCAAAAATCCATTCAGTTGAATAACATGACCAAAAGCTTGCTTCCAATATTTGCAATATTTGCTGGTTGAAATAAAGTTATTTACTGAGAGTTCCAATAATTATGCCCAGAACACACTAAAAGTAAAAGTGGCTTACATTTAACTTTGAAGAAATACTTGATGCCAAATTCTAGATAGTGGTGTTACCTTTGGGTTTAAATTTCATGTTCCACAGGCTGACTCAACCAGATCCATTAAGTTAGATTAATCTGCCTCCAAATTATGCCCTTCAAATATTTTGTACTTCAGCTCCCATCAGCCTCAGTCATGGCCAATGGTCATTAATGTTCTTATTACTGAATATCTGTAGCGCAATAGATTGGGGAAGGCTGAAGTGGAAACAGGCACTTTTGCAACATGGACTGGCTGATCCTAGGTTTAAAGCTACATCCTTGCCTTTTCTGAACTACGCACTGAGATGACGGTTGGCAAAGGTTCTTAACATCATTATTACTAGTAGGGCAAGAGTAGCATTGCTACAATATTCATAGTGGTAGCTGTTGATTATGGGAAATTACCACGGGATCCAAGAGAACAGGACAGTGCTTGTAGCTGTATGACCTAAGTCTTGAGGACATAATTAAGCTGGGAAACCATACCACCTATGAGTCTATCAGCTAATTTGTAAAGAGAAGAGGATGAGCCAGAGTGGTTCATTATCCAATGACAGGCATTCTTAGAAGCCACTATATGAACAAAATTCCCTTGTGCAATTTGGAAAGCAGAAAATATGGCATCAAATGCATCCTGAAAGCACACCTGTTCATCTAGGCTTTTCCTGACTTGTAATCAAATTAACTATGCTGCCCCATGCTCCTTTAATGCTTATTATTATTAAACTGCATTTAAAATTGTATTTTAAATCAATTTGCAATTGTGAATTTTATTTTATATGGAAATTGCTTAGGCAGTTTTTTAATACTTGGCAGTAGAGAAATAGTACAAATAAATAAAGAGCCAATACTGGAAGGGGCAATTTAAAATAAAGTTATCTTTAAAATTGATTAGTTTAGGGTTACTGAAAACACCCTCTAAATTAATCCAATTCCAAATTGGATAAGGTGAGGAACATATATATTTCAATTAAATAATGTCTGATTGGTGTGCATACAGTTTTCACCTTGAAAAGCTTTTATTTAATATTAAAGAATAAAAACAGATAAACCCTTGTACCTCACTCAAGAATGCAAGCAAATATCAACATGCTGGTGATTATACCAAACAAGTAACTTTTTTGAATTTATAGGCCATATTCTTAGCTGCCCACTCTCAGTATTATAATCTAGTTTAACTCCATAAACAGCCCCTGCTATCCTAAGATTTTAAAGAGTGTAATATTAAAAATATGCCTGAAAAACAGGATTTCCTTAATTATTGTTTCCTTATCATTTGCAAAGTTCCCATTTACTTCTGGCCTTTTAGCTGTAAATGTCCATCAAATTTAAAGTTCCTCTAACTGATACTACCTGCTGAAAGGGAAGAACAGCACTTTCCCAACATTTATTTTGCCACTCTAGATGCTCTTACAGATGTAGGCATAAAGACTTCTCCATCCATTTGTTTCTCAAGTTTTGAAAGCACTGCAAAGTTATCCCATCATTATAATGCTGTAGCCATCCACACCACTGAATTTTCACATTGAATTACCAGCCACAGCTAGTAATTTTGCCCTAGCATCTGTGCTATGAAACTGGCAGGACTAAGGCCAGCATTTTCCTTGCTACATTAACCTTCTCTAGACACCCAGTTTAAATCAGTTTGTCTCACTCTCTTTAACTCACCCTGCACACTGGCCACAGTACATTCAACACAATTTTGCTACGTGCCGGAAAATGTATTCCATGTAAGCTCATAGTGCATTTAATTGAAGCACTGCATCCATTAAAAATAACAGAAAAAGAGTAAGTGAATCCTAGCATGGTTTCTTAGTTCAACATATGAATGTTTCAAGCATGTACATTCTGAGGAATCAAGAACTGCTTGACTGCTCCTTGCCCACATATCTCTCTACCAACACTGCCTGGCATCCAAGTATCCTTTGTTTCTCTCCACCACTACCCTGATTTTATTCCCCCCCCCCCATTCCCTTCATCTAGCTCTTCTTTCTGGGGGGATGGGTGAAAAAGGAAGGAAGGGTAGCACAGATTGATACTGGGCATAAAAGAGTGGAAAGTAAAAGGGATCCCACTCTGGTGGTTATTTTGTAAGATGGAATGTAAGACTGTATGCATTTTTTACTATTTTCTGAAACCAAAAAGAACTGTTTAATGCCATTGTTTGGTCAACTTTCATCTAATCTACCCTAACTTCCTTCTCCCTTTTTATCATATCTAAGTAGCGGTAAGCATTCCTATACAGCACTCGATATTACACAGGCAAATTAGATGATGGCTTCATTTTAAAAAATATGTCCTTTTATTTTAATAGATAAAATCTTACTGGTTTTTTTTCTACCCTTGATTCCTAAAAATATTAGTTCCAAGTTTTCTCAAGTGCAGTAAGTGATAACCTTAAGTTGAAATTTATATAAAACCACAATAATAACGGGGGGGGGGTTTGTTTTTTTGTTTTGTTTTTACCAAGACTTACATTCCATCTTCTACTTTTATAGAAAAATCTCAGCAGCTTAGGTTTACCCTTTCAAAATATACAGACAATTAGATGTAGAGTGTCAACAAGCTAAATACTATCATAACAGTGCACAGCACATTCTAAAAGTCTGATTATAGTTAATAATAAAAATATAATTATGTGTTTGGATCAGAGCAATTTTACTCTTATTCTCTTCCTGCCAATGAAGAGTTAAAAATGCCTGAAAGAGTTAAGCATTCCATTAGTCAGTTCTACTCCTGCAATGCAACTGGTGTGGTTACAGTGGTTGAACTAATTAAATTTAGGGCATGTATGGTGTAGCTGAATATTTTTGATCCACCATAGCTATTGAATTATTGAACCTCAGGGGAGGGAGGAAGAGATCAGCACAACATGAAAGGAGTACTAGAAATATTCAATTCCCAGCATACTCCATAATCTACTGCCTTATGAAAACCTGATAAAATCACTCTACAGTTCTCTGTAAAGACAGCATCAAAAAACAAAAACAAAACAAACACTGGCACACAGTTGAAATTCAGCTCACAAGTTTAACAAGTCACAGCCTTACCTCAACTGTTTTTACGATGCATATGAAAGGGAAACATATTTACCCATCAGCTCCGGAATGGGATTCAGTCACACAGTATTTAAAACACTATACTTACACAAAAGTCTGCTAGAAGTTATACCTTGACTGTTCTATTTAAATTTCCAAGGATACTCCGACATATTCCTAATCATTTTCCACACCATTTATTGGCTCGAAAGGAAAGTGACCCCCTCCCCACAACACAAATCCGCAACGTGCATTTTATCAGATAAACTTTCACACAACAGGTGCCACTCCAAAGAGGGGCAATTTAGGTCGCGCCCGACGCGGGGTTTGACAAGTACACTCAGCTGCACCCCCTCGGCAAGTAACCGACGCCCTGGCAGCACTTTTTAGGAATCCTTGCTAAGTTTTCACCCAAGCGGACACTTTTGAGGAAAGCCGGCCAGAACGACGCCGGGGCTCTTCCATGCTGCCAAAGCCTCGCAGCCGTGAGAGCGCGCCCGGCACCTTCCCTGGTCCTCGCCCCGTTTCGCCCATCACCGCAGCCACTCACCAGTATGCCCATGACGTCCGTCCAGAGCCTGGAGAAACTCTCGGGCAGGGTGCCGTCGCTGTCCCTGTCCCCCTGCGGCTCCGCGCCCGCGGGGCGGCCCTCCTCCTCCTCCTCCATAGTCGCCTCGAGCAGCAAGCGGGGCTGCCCCTGGACCGAGCCTCGGGCCGACGGCGTCCCGCAGCCTCACGTCCTCACGCAGCCCGGCGGCGCCTCAGCCCTCGCAAGCCGGTCCCTTCGCCAGCCGCCCCACCATGCCAGCTCGCTTGGCCGTCCTGCTGCTCCCGAGTTCGCCTGCCCGAACCGCCCCCCCACCGGAGGGGAAGGGGGCGCTGCCCTTCCGCCTGCAAGACCTCTTCCCGGCTTCAGCAATGCTCAGCGCATCCAGGAACTGCCATGCCCCGCACAAACTTTGCCTGCTTGCCGCGGCGAGCAACAGGATGGCAAAGCAAAGCGGGGCGGAACCAAGCTCTCCTCCTGCGGGGGTGATCGGAGAAGTCTGGGCCGCTTCTTCGGGGTGTGGGGCGAAGCCCCTTCCAAGACAGGCAAAGGGCATGCACCAAAACGGTCAGTGAGCCTTCCGCTCCGAAATCCGTGCCGGCCCGGGGTCGGTTTTGAACTTGTAGACGACGCTTGAATTCTTTGTTTCCCCCTGTTTTCCAAGTGGACTCTCCCAACTCCACATGACTGCGCTCTCTGTCTCCAGAGAAAGCATTTAAGCAACAAAAGGTGCTCTGATGTCAGCCCCTTTGCATGGCAATGAGCCCCAGCACAGGCGAACAAACCTCCTGTTGAAAGACAGCAGCCTCGCTGAAGCTTCTGCCTGGCCCAAGTCTCCACTCGCACTACAAAGATACTCTCTTGAAGCTATCCCCTCTCAACGGAGTTAATGTTTAAGCCAGCCCAGCCTCCGGCAAGGATTTCAAGAATGCCCACCTTAGTCCCTCCGCCCCCTCCCAGGAATCCTACTACTAAAGCTTGCCTAAAGCACTCCCATCCGCCTGTGCCAAAGAAGCAAGCCCAGAAAACTTGGGCTCAAACTTTTGTCTGTGTGTCCACCGTGATGCTTGAAAAACATTGGTCGGGCCTTTTCAACAGAAGCACATTTTGTCACAGGATCACTCACGTTTCAGGATCAGGGAGCCGAATAGGAAATCTGATTGCTTGCTCACTAAGAGCAGTGCACTGGTGTTTCTGGAACACCTTTTTTTCCCTGTAGGCTAAGGATCATTTCATACTGACTAGAGGCAAATTCAGTCTTGCTACCAAATGAACAGCTTAACAAGCTGCTTTTAGTCACAATTCCCTGATGTGCTATTAACTGTATGATTCATGGGAGCATGCTTTTCTTACGTGCACACTTTACAGTATAAGTGTACACTTAAAGTATAGTTAAAATGTGTAACCTACGAAGGTGGTTTTACACACAAGTAATAACTGAATGCTGCTCACACTGGTTGGTCCTGTCCTCTGTCCCAGCACACCCTACATCTACACATTAGACACCTTGTATATGGCAAGGTAACATCAGCTCCTGTTGCACATAACTGATGCAATCCACTGTGTTGGATGTACACAGGGCACAAATCAGCAAACATGCTATCACATGTACACAAAAATATTCTCTAGAAAGCTTGTGAATTGGAACCACATAAAACACACACAGGGATGTTGCTCATTTGTGCCCTTTAGTAGTCACCACTAGAACTGGCTCTAACTCCTTGTGTGTTACCCATTGTCTTCCTGATGGAGCTGAGAATGTGGAATAATGGCATCTGTTCACATGGCTAGTACTAGTGGTCAAACAATATGACCACAATAGGAATTGTTTGCTATAGAGAAATTGTCAGATAATTTATCGACAATGTCTCTCCCCTTCTGCACAAAAAGACACCTCCAGATTAAATGACATAGCTGGGGATCAAACCTTCATATGAAAAGAAGGGCTCCAGACAAACTGCCATTCTTCAAACTTAACAAATGTGAAGATATTGTCTATTCTGTGGTCTGAAGTCAATTAATATTTCCCCCAAGCTCAGCACATGGAAGATATGCTTGACTTCAAAAGAAAGTACCAAAAGTTATGAACCACAGGAAAAAATATGATCTATTCTTAGAAAGGAAAATATAGGATCTGAATAGGATTGTGAAGGCAGTCTGATTTTGGAGGTTGCTCCGCCCGCCTGCCCGCTTTCTGTCTTTCTTGTCTTATTAGACTGAATTTGAATTGTTTATGCTAAGACAATTGCTCTTGAATTCATTTTAATCTCTGATTTAATCTCTCCATTTAATCATATACAAGCAATGAACTGATAATCAGAACCTGTGGCTGGATCACATAACGCACAACACACATACCACAACAGACTAGAATCCACAGTCCCACTAATATAGCAACCACTGTATTTAACCACATTTTTTAGGTTTGCATCCCGTCTTTTTTGCAAAGAGCTTGTGAAATTTAGAGATTTCTGGGAATGACTCAACATAACCAGAAGGGGCAATAGTGGCCGAAGAACCCCAAGAAACCTAGTTTGTATAGACAAGGGTTGTAAACAAAACACCAGTCACAATGTTCAGCATGAAGAAGAAAGCATGCTATTGTTAAATATAGCCTCTCTGCATGACAGACTGCTTTAGAAATGGTACAAGTAAAGCAGACTAGAGATATAATCCAATCCTAACCACATTTATTCGATTTATTATGCTTAAGATTACAGACTAATTATGTTACAATATTTTAATCATTTTATTCATCTCTGAGGAAGAGAAATGGTGATAGTTGATTGTGCAAAATTTAAAAAAAAGTTGTTTATGAAACTACTGTTGGGAAAGGGATGTTAAGTTATGATATGAAGTAAGTCAAAACTCAGACACATTATAGGATGGGAAACGGTGATGGCATGATCACAGTCCCATCTTCCAGTCCTAAATCCTGCCTGAGAAAACTCAAAGTATCTGGATGTTTACTCAGACTGCTAACATTTGCATTTAAATTAAATGGCCATCAGCAGGTGTTAACTCTAAACAAATAACCCAACTGAATCAGGAAGTTTGCACTTTCCAAAGCTGCTGCCTTAAATAGATAGTGAATTCACAAAAGTACACTGGATTGCACTGTATACATAAGTAAATGGCACTGCTGCCTCCACTGAATTTGTTCTTCTGTTGCTGCTAAGCCTTTCCGCTGTTCTATACTTGGATTGTCCTTTAAAGACAGTTACTCACACACGTTACATAAACAAAAGCTAAAATGTGTGCATAGATGTGCAAGTCATAAATGGTACTATGTGCAGACTAGTATCAATAGTTAGCAAGTGCATAGAGTTAATATTCACTGATTTGGGACTAAAAAAATCTCAGTGTTTTTTTTCCCCAGTTATTGCTCTCCTGCACTCCACTCCAGCCTAAGGTCTCTTAAGGATTTCCTCGTCTGACACTTGCAGCATAGGGCTTTGCTTCTTTGAAGAATGTATGACTAGACAGGATTGCAGTGATGGGAACTCACTCCAGAATCGTGGCATTTTTGATGACTTTGTACTGGTGCAGGTACATAGTTCTGATGTGGCACTTGTGCACAAGAGTTGGACAACACAGAAGCACCTGTGCAACTGAACCACACAAAGCTCTGCAAGATGTATCAAAGTGTCATGTGAGGAGGATGTGGGAGTTTTGGGCATTATGATATGATCATTGCCAACACTGGCTCTCTCTTTGTGCTAGCTGAACACTGCACATACAACGCATTAATCCAGTTCAACTCAGTTTGTCATGAAAAACATCACACTGACTTCAAACAGCCGCACACACAAGAATAAACAGCATGAGAGAAAGCCCCCAAAACCATGCACCTGCATTACTTTCCAGTGCATAGAAACTCACAACACCCTAGGCAACCCCCACCTCTGGCTTCCTGCACTCATGCCAGGTAGACAAAAAAGCTGGATACTAGGAACAGGATCAGAAGAGACTTTCTTGCCAGGCAGTCTCTAGCCCAGACCTGCTAAAGCATGCTCGCTGAGGAAAAGCTTGCTGCTTCCTGGCATCCTTCAGGCTGACGCAATTGCAGCATACCTACCAAAACACAGGGCAATCAGAAAGAACACTTAATATCAAGAGCATGGAGAAAAGGAGGGAATGACTTTCTAGTTTTGTGGGAAAAGAAGACTGTGTGCATTTAGATATATTATAATGAATCTTATTTTTATTTCAATTATCTGATAGTTAATTGGACTCTATCAACAGGGTTTATCTTAAAGTCTACATTAGGTCCAGAGAATTCCTATAAAGTGCCCCCAGTTTGACATATGTTTTGTGTGTACTAGAGCTGTTTCATGCAAATCAGAAAAAGGAAAGTACTATTGGAATTCACATTTTAAAATGCTTGTGTTTATTAAGGGTATTCTAAAGCAGAATACCACTAATAAAGTATGTTACCCATAGTTCTATTATGTGTATTTCTGTGTATTTAATGTGTATTAAATATTAATGAGTAAAACACCAATTGGGCCTTTGTATAGCAGGCACGTGAGGCCAACTCTGGAGCAAATTCTTAAAATAAACTTTTTTTTTTGAAACCAGGAAGTCCTCCTTTTCAAACTTAATCAAACTAAATGGGGACTACACACAAAGCCCAACCTGGTCTTCCATTCACTTTAGTGGAGCTTGCACAGGAGAGTATTTCAGTGGAAGGTGCCCATGTCATCTTCCAAGCCATTAAGACTATATGGCAATGGAGAGCAAGGACAGGTTCTTGGTGGCTCTCCCATGTCAGTGGAAAACCAACCCTCTGAAGACCCACACATTTTTCAGCTGCATGCATCCTGAAGCGGTACAAATTGCTTTTCTGTTTTGTAGCTACTGTTACACAAATGCTTAGGATAGAGTGGCTAATAATCTGATACAGATATTTAGGAAACAATTTATCTTGCTGTTTTATATATTATGTATTCCAAGAGTGATGTGATTTGCTTCTGGCAAAGGGGATGGGGTATAGCAAGGTACTGTCAGTGAAAAATCTTCCACTGACATGAATGAAAGGCCTTAATGCTAATAGCAGGCATGGCTGTGACCATAGCTGTGGAGTAAAGCCTTCCTAGCTCTTCTCAGCAGTGTCCCAGTCTGGGTGCCTCCAACATCTGCTCTATTTTAGTTTGGATCTGAGATGGACTGGATTACCTAAATGCTACTGCATTAAAAGCAAACTTTAACTCAGCTTTTTGCAATATTGTACCTTGCAGTTGTTTTGGAGTCCAACTCGTATCAGGCCTAGCCAACACAGCAGAAGGTCATGAATGTTAAATGTTGTAGTCCAAAAATCAGGCAGGCACACGGTGACTGTGCTTTTAAGCCACGACCCTAGCTTTTCTTAGCTGTGCGTATGCTCCATTAAACTCAACAAAACATATAGGACAGTGCCACTAGTTTTTGTCCAACAACT